AGGATCAGATGATGTGGCAGTGCTGGTAGCTGGTTGTGAGTGGCACCTCTCCCCTTGAGGCAGCCGCGTGCCCTCAGGTCCCCCAGTCCTTCTGTGGTCTGGAGACCCAAGTTTTCAGATTTCAGTGTTCGTTCCCGCTGCTCTCTGCGGGATCACTCTCCTGTGCATCCTCCCCCCAGGGACAGCCTTCGGTTTACACCCAGAGAGGAGATGAACCCCCAAAACTGCACTGACACATGACCCTAAGGTGCTGACACTGAAGGCTGTGACATATGAGTACTTGATGTCCACTCCCAAAGCCCAGGCACCAGGCCCCTCTCTTCTCCGGGACCCAGGGACCCAGGCGTACAAGCCCCACCCCATTCTCAATGAGCCTTTGTCCCTGACTGGGAAAGGCACGGGCAGAGTCTGACATCATGAAGCCTGAGGTGGGGGTGGGACTCCCCCTCCCCCTGCGTCCAGCGTTCTCTGATTGCTCACTCCCTGGTCTGAGGGATTCCCCTCCCCACCCTCACACACAGGTTCTCCCTTGGGAGAAAGGACCCTCCCTCCCCGCCTCTCCACTACTCTGGCCTAAAGGAGGACGGAAGATGCCCCAGTGTGACCGAACAGCTCATGGTCAAACCACCACTACCCTCAGTCACACCACTCGCTCCCCGCCATGACCTTGCAGAGATCATACCCAATGGGAGAGATTGGGGTGGCAAGAGGATCATTGTGGAATCTGCCCACAAAGGGTCCCCACCCCGCTCAGCGTCAGCACAGCCCTTGCTGAACACCCTCTGTGCACCAGGCTCTGTTCTAGGGGACACAGGTTGAACAAGACAGACAGGCAAGCAGATAGAAACGCTGCCCTCCGTAAGCTCCAGGCTAGTGAGGAAGCGGCTCACCAATGGTGCAGGTCGGCAGACGTGCTGAGAGCTGTGGAAAGACAGGGCAGCATTTAGATGGAGAGGCTTGGCTTGGTGAGAAGGCAGGCAGGATTCGAGAGGCAGTGGCATCCACTCAGGGAGCTAAAAAGGTGAGCAGGCTGAGGCTAGGGCGGAGTGAGAAGGTGGGATGAGGTAGGGGAGATTTCCAAGAGGAAGAAGCAAGTGCAGAGGCCTCCAGTCAGAAGGTGCCACAGGGTATTAGACGCACACATTCATGCAAAAGCTCCGCATTTATGAAGCTTAGCTCTGTGCCAGGAGCTGTTCTACAAGCAGGATAGATTGGCAATCAGCAGGCAAAGCCCTTGTCCTTCTGGAGGTCATGTTCTCATGAGAGGAGACAGTCAATACCTAAGGTCACTTCCAATGGCAAGAAGAAAACAGACCAGGATGCAGGCACCAAATGTGACCTAGGGAAGTGACTCTAAGAGAGGGTGTACATGACACTGAAGCCGAGAGTGGCGAGGTCCTGTCTCCTCCTCCCACCCACACCAGCCTCTGTTGCCTCTGGGGACCCGGGTTAGACCTATCGTTGCCACCAAGACTCCCTGGAAGCTGAGGACAACGCCTTCTGTTGCTCAGTCTGAGATGTTGAGAAATATTAGAACGCCCTCCCAGGGACTCAGAACCAGGGTTCACAGAGATGGAGGAGGGGGGAACAAGTAAGGCAGCCGCACCCCATCCCCTCCAGGAAGGAGCTAGTAGAACCCAGGCATCAGGCTGCCCAGTTGAGCAGTGGTGACAAGGGCCCCTTTGTGCCCCCCTCCCCCGGGGACAGGGAGGAGCTGGGCCCTGGAGGCAGGCGGCCCCTGGCACCCGGTGGTGGGGGAGGGGAGGGACCAGCAAGTGGGGGCCTAGACCCTGGGAGGCCAGGCAACTGTGAGCCGGACTGAAGAGCAGAGGGTGCAGACACAAGAGCATCCTGGTGAGTACGCAGCCAAGAGGGGCCGGGGACATGGTGGGAATAGAGGGCTGGGACTGAGAGGGTGGAGCAGGGACACCTGAAGCAGGTGCAAGGTGAGGATGGTCGCTGTGAACTGCCACTAATTTAGGATGGGGAAAGGTATTCCTTAGGACTTTGGGGATCAACTGGGACTGACCATGGCAGGACGGTGTCCAGGCTTTGGGAAGAAACCACAGAGAAAGGGAACCAAAGGCCTTCCTCAGCACCCCTCATGGTGGAGGTTCTGCAGGAGCAGCTGCCCTGGGGCTCCCAAGTTTGGGGCAGATGGGGTGGAAGCAGCCTGGGGCTGGGTGGAGAGTACAGTGATGCCCAGGTGATCAGACACCTGCATCTTGCCCTCTGGGAAGGGTTGGGGGCAGTGGGCTGTGACTGAGCAAGTTGCAGCACCTGGGCTCACAACAGGATGTGTGTGTGTGTGTTTGTGTGTGTGTGTGTGTGTGTGTGTGGCGTGCACGCATGCACCTCCCATGGGTGTGTCTTAATATACATCAATGTTTGTCAACCTTTTTTTCATTACACACCACTAAGAAAAATTTTTAGACCTATTTTTCCTAATTCCACTCCCCCTAAGAATTTTACTACTACAGATATGCTGTACGTATGTTGATGTACGGTGGTCCTGGTGAGGACCACAAATGAAAAATCACTGTCATAGCTAAGACGTTTTCTGGCCCCTACCTCAAGAACCAGTTTTCACCCCTGTAAAGAATGCTCGGTCTACATGTCTCGCATGTCTGCCCATGCCCTGCGTCTGTCTCCTGTACCTTCTTGCCGCAGGTGCAAAGGTGGCATCTGCCCTGTGTCCCTCAGCATGTGTCTGGGTTGGTCTGTCCTTAGCTACACCTCAGTGTGTGTGTGTGCAGGCCTGTGTGTCTGTGAGCATGGCACGCCGACGGGTATGCGTATGTGCCTGAACGCCATGCCCATGTCAGTGCAGGAGTGAGGTGCACAGGAGGGACAGCAGTGCAGGTATGCTTCTGTGGCTGTGTGTGCCGGCCCATTCTGAGGGCACTGGGGGGACTCAGTGCCTGCCCATGTGTGCAGGGGCCTGACCGGGTGTCCGCGTGAGTCTATTGTGCGAGCCTACTCTTCTGGCTGAGTCTAGATCTGTCACATTTCATAGCAGCATTTCCATGTGTCTGACTGCATGCATCTGTGTCCGTGGGAAGAGGGTGATGAAGGCTGGGGAAGGCAGCCACTTGGAAACCCTGGCTCCAACCCTGAGGCAACCCACAGAGCAGCCTGTTGCCAGGGGCTTCCTTCTTTCCCACCCCTGGTCCTTCCTGGCCCCATGCAGAGCTCAGCCAGGAGTGTGCGACTCTTCTCTCATCCCACCTACCCCAGGAGCTCCCCAGGACGCGGTACCCTCCCCCAGAGGGAACAGGGCTCTTTTGTGCTGGGCCGCTGGCCTCTGTTGAGGGTGGGGACAGCAGGGGCTGTCTGTGGGGTGGGAGCAGGCGGCAGGAATTCACGCGGCATGCTGGGAATGCTGATACTGTGAAACCCAGTCATTGATGGCACTGGGTCCCTGCCTGCCACCCCCAGGCCTTACCCCACTCACAAACCCCCCGCCTATCCCCCCAACCCAATGCTCCGCCACTCCCCTTTCCCTCCCCGCAGTTTTTTATGGTAGCTTGAGGGGGGTGACCCTATGTAGAGTACCTCCCAGGCTGTGTGGGAGGGTCCCAAGCATCCATGGGAAGCCTTCGGACAGGCCACAACTCATAGCAGATGCTGAAAGGGGGCGGGCAGGCAGAGGGCACCCCTGCCCCCTTGCACCTGTCTGACTCTTGTTCTAGATTGGCTAGCTGACCGCTTCAAGTGGGACCAGAAGACATTCCCAACTCAGGGAGACTGAGGTGAGGGGCAGAGTTCCTTCCTCTTGGCTCCCCCTTCTTTTTACTGCTGGTCCAGGTTTTGCTGTGTTCTTACTCTCTGGGGATCCCCAGGGGCCCGGTGGTGATGAAGATCATGATCAACATACCACTACCGCGGAAAGACGGGACAGTTGGGTGGTTATGCCTGCAAACCTGGAGCCAGGTAGATAGGGCTTGAATCCTAGTTGTCACTTGCCGGCTGTGTGGCTGTGGGCAAGTTACTTAACCTCTCTGGACTTGAGCTATAAATGAAGATAATCATTGCGCCTACCTCAAAGAGATCAAATGAATTAATATAGCAGAGTAAAAGCACTGAGGCCTGGTTCATGGTCAATGCCATATAAATATTTGTAAATATAAATATTAATAGCAGCAGTGGCTACTGTCAGAACAGGCCCCCTCCTAAAGCTTTAATAGAAGCACCCCTTTTCACTTCCCCTGGACTTTAACCACCCCCTTTCCCTTCTCCAGCTGTCGCTCACTTGCTGTACAAAATGATATTCCTCACAGCGCTTCCCCTCTTTTGGATTATGATTGCAGGTAATGGGTGGGGGGCTGGCTGGGGATCCTGGGGCCTTGGCCCCACGCTGGCTGGGGTTGTTTCCCCCTCAGGCCAGTGGAAGGTGATGGGAGTAGGAGGTGGGTGCTTCGAGAAGGACATGTCCCTCAGCCTCAGCAGTCCTGCTCACCCACAGCCTCTCGAGGGGGTCACTGGGGTGCCTGGATGCCCTCGTCCATCTCAGCCTTCGAGGGCACATGTGTCTCCATCCCCTGCCGCTTCGACTTCCCCGATGAGCTGCGGCCTGCTGTCGTGCATGGTGTCTGGTACTTCAATAGCCCCTACCCAAAAAACTACCCCCCAGTGGTCTTCAAGTCTCGCACCCAAGTCGTCCACGAGAGTTTCCAGGGCCGCAGCCGCCTGCTGGGGGACCTGGGCCTGCGCAACTGCACCCTCCTGCTCAGCAACCTCAGCCCGGAGCTGGGGGGCAAGTACTACTTCCGCGGGGACCTAGGGGGCTACAACCAGTACACCTTCTCGGAGCACAGCGTCCTGGACATTATCAGTGAGTCCCCCAGAGGTTGCACGGGTGGCGGGCCTTGGGCAGGGTGGGGCAGCAGGAAGTCCTCACCAGCACCTTTTTAGGGAGGTCTCCCCAGGACAGATCCTGGGACTTGTTGGTTTGGCTGGGAGGTGCAAAGCCCAGTGCCCACACAGACCGGGCAGATGGCAGCAATGAGCAAAGCAGGGCCCCGAATAGCCTTGCTGCCCTCAGAGGAAAAGGCGTGCTCTTATTCTTCTAGAAACACCTGGGGGAAAGGCAGCGAGGCTCAGGGGTTAGGGATAAGCCCTTTGCCTCCCTGTGTTCACTGGGCAACTGTGGGCAAGTTACTTAACTTCTCTGAGCCTTGGTTTTCTTTTTTGTAAAATGGGGCTAAGAGCAGCACTTAAAGCTCAGTGAGTGAGAGGCTGTCAAGTGCTCAGAGCAGTGCCTGGCACGTGGCTCCCAGCTCTGGCTGATTGGTGCTGGGTGAGAACACAGGGCCTTGGCTGTCAGGCAGTCTGAATTTTCAGAAGAAACCAGAATTGTGTATTTTCCTATGATCTCCTAATTCTTAAACATCAGCTGCTGATTCACTTTTTTTTTTTTAATTCCTAAATTTAGGCCAAATAAAATGCAGCTCTTGGCCAGATTTGGCAATCAGATTAGGGTCCACTACCTGATTTCTGAGAGGCCCTACTGCCTCGAGCGCTTAAATTCAGGCTCTTCATCAGTATCAAGTCTATACAAGGAGCCAGATTACAGCCCTGATGCAGAAAGAGAACCCCCCCCCACACACACACACACTCACATCCACAAGTAGAAGGTAAACCAAAACAGTGAGGAGGAGAGATGTTTCTTAAAGAATATGCTGTAGTGTCAAGAGCACAGATGACGAAGCCACAGTGACAGGGCTTGCAGCTCAGTTGTACCAGGTACGAGCTGTGGCCTCAGTTTCCTCAACTGCAGGATGAGTAAAGTACTGTTTCCCACCCACTAGCATGGCTGGAAGGACTGGCAAGTTCAACACTGTAAAGTATTCAGACTACCATATGGCTTGTCTCATTACTATCACATCCGTAGTTGGATTTATGCAGGGCTTCTGAGTGAAGGATAACCAGGAGGAGAGAAGGTTGTAGGGATTTCTGTATCCCAGGGGAGGGAACCAGGTACTAGGATTGGAGTTAGGCAAGGTGGGGGTGTCTGCTTCTTTAACCCTCCTTCTCCCTGCCTCATGTAGACACCCCCAACATCGTGGTCCCCCCGGAGGTGGTGGCAGGCACAGAAGTGGAGGTCAGCTGCATGGTGCCTGACAACTGCCCAGAGCTGCGCCCAGAGCTGAGCTGGCTGGGCCACGATGGGCTAGGGGAGCCCGCTGTGCTGGGTCGGCTGCGGGAGGATGAGGGCACCTGGGTGCTGGTGTCGCTGCTACACTTCGTGCCCACTAGGGAGGCCAACGGCCACCGGCTGGGCTGCCAGGCCTCCTTCCTCAATACCACTCTGCAGTTCGAGGGCTACGCCAGCCTGGACGTCAAGTGTGAGCCTGGGTGCGGGCCAGGGGGGGCGGGGTCGGGGCGGGGCCGGGGGACCGCGGCGTCCACCCTCTGACCCCGCGGTGTCGCCGGCCTCAGACCCCCCGCTGATTGTGGAGATGAACTCCTCGGTGGAGGCCATCGAGGGCTCCCACGTCAGCCTCCTCTGTGGGGCTGACAGCAACCCCCCGCCCCTGCTGACCTGGATGCGGGATGGCACGGTGCTCCAGGAGGCCGTGGCTGAGAGCCTGTCCCTGGAGCTGGACGAAGTGACCCCCGGGGAGGACGGCATCTACGCCTGCCTGGCAGAGAACGCCTATGGCCAGGACAACCGCACCGTGGGGCTCAGCGTCATGTGTGAGTGGCCGCCCAAGGCGCATGTATGCCTGGCACTGGCCGCGGGCGAGGGGGAGAGATTAGGGAAAAGAGGCCTCATCCAGGGCGTTGGGCCAGTTGGGGCCAGAACTGAGGCTGAGGTGAAGATGGAGAGGAGGGTTTCCGGTCAAGGTGTTCCTTCCTTCTTCGCACAAGCACCTGGTGAACACCTACGCTGCACCAATCTCATCCCTAGGACAAAAGCAGAAGACAGATTCAGTCCCTATCTCCCAGGAAATCTGGTTATATTCAGTTTCCTGGGGCAGTCCTGCCTGTTCTGGGAGTAGATCTGGGCTTGGCCCTAGGAATCTGCATTTTAAAAATGAGCCCCATTGCAGTTCTACTGGGAGGGTTGAGGGGATGTGAGGCCTCACCCAGCACCTTGTGTGTACCTGTGCATTACAGGGCGCCGGGCAAGGGGGCTGGCTGGTCAGACAGGATTTTAGCTAGGAACCCAGGAGAGGTCATTCATTCATTTATTCATTCACAAATACTTATTGAGGCAAAACGCCAGGGCTGGGGATAATAATAATGACAGCCACAGCCAACATTTACTCAGCAGTTTCTGAATACTTGACACAAATCCTCTTCCTTCTCCCAGGCATCCCGGGGGCTGGCTCCTCCCCCCTGCTCTACTCTCACTGAAGCCTTCCCTCACCCTCCTAGTTAAAACTGTAACCACCCCGATTTTCCATCTTTCCCTTTATTTTCCCCCAAAGTACTTATCTTGCCTAGCGTATATTTATTTACTTACACGGCACCTACGCCCGTGTGCAGGGATCTTCATTTACCTTGTTCAGGCTAGAACCGTGCCCGTCACTTAGATTCTCAGTGACCCACCCCTAAGAACTCGAGACTATTATCAAACCCATTTTCCAGATAAGAAAAATGAGGTCCAGAGAGATTCAGAAACGGGCCCACACATACCTGGGAAGGGGTAGGGCCAGGGTTCAAACAAGCACTCTGGCTGCAGAGCCTCTGTTCTTGTTAACAGGACAGCCAGGCCTGGAGTTACCTGAGCCATCCTGAGCTGCTGTGCTTTGATTGGGGTGTCTGGGGTCACATTTAGGGGTCAGAGTTGGTTGGCAGAAGAGGCACCTTCTGGCTTCTGACCATCGGCCCCCTGTCCTGCCCCCCAGATGCACCCTGGAAACCGACGGTGAACGTGACAGTGGTGGCTGTGGAGGGGGAGACGGTCTCCATCTTGTGCTCCACACAGAGCAACCCGGATCCTATTCTCACCATCTTCAAGGAGAAGCAAATCCTGGCTACAGTCATCTATGAGAGCGAGCTGCAGTTGGAGCTGCCTGCTGTCACACCCGAGGATGACGGAGAGTACTGGTGTGTGGCCGAGAACCAATATGGCCAGAGGGCTACCGCCTTCAACCTATCCGTGGAGTGTGAGTACACCCCCTCCTCTCCCCTCCCCCTGCTGAGAGCTGCCTGGACTTGTGTCTCCCCTCCACCCTGAGGTAGATGGTTCAGTGGGGGACATCTGGGTTACCGGGAGGTACCCACATATCCCAACCAAGGGTTAGCTTTGCACCAGCAGACAAGGATGAGAAAGGCAGGGAAGCAGAATCCACAGCAAGAAAATACAAGTCCCACCTGAGAACACTGTGTTCACATACCCTGGGGTGTACTTTTGACCAAGGAGATTCTGGATCCTGTGGCCACTGTCCCTTTGCTTTAACTAAAATACTAACCACGACATCTAACACTTGTGGATCGTCGCTATGTACCGGGCACTATTGGAAGCGCTGTACAGGGACCCACTCATTTCATCCTCATGACATCCTATGAAGAAGGTTCTATTACTGTCCTGAATTTGCAGAGAAGGAAACAGGCCCAGAGAGGTTATGCCACTTGCCCAAGTTCACACAGCTAGAATGGCAGAATTTGAGTTTCAAATCCAGGTGGCCTGGTTCCATTCTTCTGTACTGCCCATAGTTGACCTCATCCTGCGTTATTACATCAGAATACAGTGATCGAACAGCTGTTATGTGCAAAGGGCTGTGCGACTCTGTGGGAGGCGGGGGATAGTACCAAGAGGACACCATGCTTGTTAACAGATAGACTATAGCCAAAGAGATGAGATGGATGCACATAAACAGTTAACTGCCTTGGAAATGAAACTCCTCGCCAGCCAGCACCTCTCCTGACCTCCTCTTAATGGACAGCACCACCAACTCCCATAACCCCACCCTGGTCACCATTCTGGGTCTTAGCTCCCAAGTCACAGTTCTGACTCCCCTCCCCCAGCAACTCCCTCTGGAATGTCACCTCCATATTTCCACTTCCCCTGCTTCCTCCTCAGCTCTGACCTGACCTCTGGCACTCGTCTCCAATCTTCACTACTCCCAGCCTCAATTACTCTGCTTACAATTGTTCCCACCACAGAAGTTTGTCAGAAGGTATTGAGCACAGTCCATGCTCCATACTCTGTACGAGTAGACATAGCGATAATCCGAACATGGTAGTTACAGATTCTTCCTGGAGTGCCATCTTTCATGTCAAAGCCATGGCTGCCCACTCTGCCACTAACCTTTCATCTTTGGTAAGACAGGGAACCCCATACCAGGAACACCTATCGTTCCCTCCGGTCTCTGCTACTGACGGCATCCGATGTGATCTCGGTGTACGGCTTGTGCAGTGCTTTTCCCCATATGCACCCTGCTGGGCCCAGTTTCCCCCTTCTGCTGCACTCTTTTCCCTGCCGCACCCCAAGCCAGTGGTCCTTAAGTTTAAGAGTCAGCGCCTCTGAGAATCTGATGGCAGCCCTTGAACATACACACAACACCTTCTCATGTACATTCTCGGTCATAGACCTTCCCTCCCCTGTGCGTAAGAAGAGTGGCGGCAGCAAATGGTCATTAAGGGACTACGCTGGGTCAGAATTCCATTCTCTACAGGTGTTATTTTGCTGAGCCCTTGTGGCCATCCTGTGAAGCAGGTATGTTATCATTATCCCTTACGTGAGGAATAATGAAGGTCAGAATTCCTCCAGCCATGCAGCTCGGAAGGTCGGTCAGTGCCAGAATTCTCCTGGCTGCCTCAGCTGTTAAACCTCTGGCCGCTTCACCTCCCCCACAGCCCTTGGCACCCAAGGACTCACGTAATCTAGCTTCTTTTGAAGACAAACAAACAGATTTGGAGTGTAAGGCCTTTAATCCACTGGAGTTGAGGAACAGGTGTGATCCACGCCCCAGCCCTACCTGCTGAGTCCTTCATGCTTCACCAAGGCCCGTGTCACAGTGCTTTCCTTCTGGGAGTGCAGCCTCAGGCTGCTGGACAGAGCTGTCCCTCATCCCTCTTCTGTCCCAAAGTCTATGTCCCTTAGAACCTGGCTTTAGTGCTTACTGACAATGGTGAGTGTTTCTGGTGCAGGGTTCCCTGTCTTACCTGCCAACCCTAGGGCCCAGCATGGCATGGACGACGCAGGAGGCTCTCACCCTTACAGAGTGCTTACAACATGCACACAACCTGTCTGAGCCCTTTGCAATGTATTGACCTGTTTCGTTCTCACAACAGTGTGATAGGGAAGGGGACTGTTCTTCGCCCCAGTTTAAGAGAAGGAAACTGAGGTGTTGTCAAGTACCCGACAAAGCGGAACCAACCTGGGTCAAAATATTAGCTCTGTCTCTGTCTTGCTGCATGATCCCAGACAAGTAACTTCACCTTTGCTGAACCTAAATTCTCTCCTCTGACATACGGGTGTGATAACAGTATCTTACTCGAAAGATGGGTGTAAAGACTAAGGAAATCATGGTGAGCGCCCACAGCACCTGACACGTCCTATGTGTTCTGTAAGTCTTAGGTACCCTCATCATTCCCCACTCATTTTTCCTTTGGACTCCAGGCTTCATATCCACCCTGCATTCTGCTGCCAAGGCTTTGCTCCTGTGCTCCCTCTGCTGGAATGGTTCTATTTATCTAATCTTAACTCCTTGGGTGGGTGTTAATTTAATTAAGCCTTTACAGTGCACTCATGTGCCTATCTATCATCAGAGTCCCTACAGCCCCTTGCAAGTTAAGGACCATTACTCCTGTTTGCACAGATGAGGATTCCATCTTGGGGGCCCAAAGAAGCTGAGGGCCTGATGGGAGCCACTAGCCAGTAGATGGCAGCACTGGGGGTTTGTCTAGTGTCAGTCAGGGCTTCATAGGTTTCCCAGGCTGCCTGCAAAGCTGCAAAGACAGACGCTGAGCACATGCAGGTAGGGTGTCTGCGTTCTCACAGCATCTAGGGCAGACATCACTGAAGCACCAGCAGTGCAGTCTTGAATGAAAGGGTTGTCATCAAATATAATCACTTCAGGTTTGTTGTTATTGATTTACTCTGTGGTGTGTTAATTTAACACTACTGCAAGCATGGTGCATGTCTGCCTAAACAGAATTTGGGGTATATAACTTTTAAATGACTAGACTTAGATGTTAGTTCAGATTAGAATCATCTCTATTGCAAGTGTATCTGGTCACGTAACTCCCTGTCCCATAACTGTCACCTGTATATTTTTCTTTGTTGGAAACTGAAAATAAGTGGGTTAGGTGGGCTGAGGGTCATTTGCCTGTGTGTGGGGGGGAGTGGGGGGAAGGGGGGTTGGGTCAGAACTGAGAGCCAGAGCTCAGTCTAGAGCAAGCTGAGGGGAGTGCTGGACCCTCCAGGAGGAAGAGAGAATATAGTTTTAAAAAGCAACATTCAGTGTTCTATGATAATTTCACATTTTGGAAAATAAAAGAAAATTATACCTGTACCATTTTTTAAAGTACAAATGACAGCAAAGCAAAGCTCAACCAAATAACCTTGGGTGGAGAGTGGTGTTTAGTGCTAGCAGCAATGGGGACTCCTGTGACAGAGGGAGGGTTAGGATGCAAGGGGGTTCTGGGGAATAATAGGGGCATCTACAAGATGGCCAGAAAGGGGAGCCAGCAGAATTCAATAGCTCACCCCACAAGTCTTCCCAGAGCTCTGCTATGTGAAATGCACATTTTAAGTGTGGGGGGACAAAGTGGAGACAGAACGAGAGCCCGTCTTGTTGGAAAAGAGAGGCCAGCTATATCAATATACAACATGGGTAGGGGTGAGTGCTGGGGAGAAAACCGAGCGGGACAGGGAGTGAATGTTAGTGAAGTGAGGTGCAGTTTTACATGCGGTAGTCAGAGAAAGAGAGTGTCTGAGGGGTCTGAGTGGAACCTTCATGGAGAAAGGAGGTGAGTTGGGAAGGTATCTCCAGGGAGTGTTCTAGGCTGAGGGAGAAACACAAAGACCCAAGGTGGGGCAGAGCTCCATAAACTTGAGAAACGGCAAGGAGACCAGTGTGACTGCAAGGAATGAGCCTTTGGGTGAAAAAAGATCAGATTGTGGCTAGGTCCCGCAGGGCCTTGCAAAGAAGTTGGATTTTATCGTGACACAGAGCAGTTGGAAGAAGGGCTTGAGCATGATCTGATTTATTTACCGTGAACAGAGTTAGAGGGGGTGTTATGAGATAGTATAAAGGAGAAAATGCAGCTAGCTCTTCTCTGAGATAGCTACCACCCCGCTCTTGGCTCTCAGCCAGAGAGTTCTGGCCTTGGGTTGTTTCCAGCTCACTCAGTCTTGATCTCGCCCATGCAGTTGCCCCTGTGATCCTTCTGGAGTCCCACTGTGCAGCGGCCCGAGACACGGTGCAGTGCCTGTGCGTGGTGAAATCCAACCCGGAGCCCTCTGTGGCCTTCGAGCTGCCCTCGCGCAACGTGACCGTGAACGAGACAGAGCGGGAGTTTGTGTACTCGGAGCGCAGTGGCCACCTGCTCACCAGCATCCTCACGCTGCGGGGCCAGTCCCAGGCCCCGCAGCGGGTCATCTGCACCTCCCGCAACCTCTATGGCACCAAAAGCCTGGAGCTGCCCTTCCAGGGAGCCCGTGAGTGGTGTGGCCTGGGTATGGGATCCACAGGGACAGAGGGGGCTCCTCTTGGATCCAGCCTCCCCTCCCCAAGGCTGACTGATCATCAGCCACCGAGCACGGGTCAGGCCATGCAGGTTGATCAAGTGGTTAGAGAGACCCTTCTGGTCGGTAAGGAGAGGCTGCCCTGAGTTTGCCTGTACTGCACGGGCCCCTCCCCAGGCCCTTCAGGCTAGTCAGTCAGTGCAAGGATGTGCCAGCTGTGCAGGTATTTTCACTACTCACTCCTGCCCCAGCCCATCTCCTAAGAATCGGGGTGTCCTCATTCCTACCAGCAGCCCTGAGGGCACCTGGGTCCTCTCTGTCCTCAGACCGTCTGATGTGGGCCAAGATTGGGCCTGTGGGAGCTGTGGTCGCCTTTGCCATCCTAATTGCCATCGTCTGCTACATTACCCAGACACGCAGAAAGTGAGTGCCCCGCCAGGGCTGACCTGGGACATGGGGAGTCCTCCAAGGGTGGGGTTGGGGGTGGGGCTGAGGGGTGGGCAAGGGAGGGCAGCCCTGTATGTATGTGGGAGGGTGGATTCTGCTCTGAGAATGTTCAACTGAATGGAGGAAAGACGGCTGCTGCAAACAAGAGCCGCTGCGGGTCAGCATGTCCAGTGCTGGGCCAAGCACTTTCCACCAGTTGTTACCTATTTTCCCACATTCTCTGCTATGAGCTCCTGGAGGGGAAAGCCAGCTACCTCCGGCCTGCCACTAGTGTCAGTCCCCGTTGGTTCCAGAAGTCCCCGTGATTACACACATCTGTGGCAACAAAAACCTTTCCCCTGCCCTCAAACCACAGCCAGGAGCCACAACTATGCTGTTGTTGAATTCCTTGTGGCTTTCCTAAAGATGAATTAATCTCCCTGCTCTACATTCGGACAGCAAGAGGGACAGACAGACCTGGAGCATATGAGGAGAACCCAGAGAAGCCAGACTGGGGTCCTGAAAAGGGGCAGAGACCAGTGGCTAGGTGGCTCATCCTCAGCCACAAAGCAGGGGAGGGATGGGCAGTGGTGGACAGGAAGAGGCTGGTCATTCGAAGAGCCCATCTGCCCCATCTTGGAGAGATGGGTGGGAACAACACTGGGGTTCCTTGGGCCAAACTCCTAAAGTAGATGGGGGTGCAAAAAGGGAGGGGGGAGGGAGTCCTGGGAGTCCTACTGGGGCTGCCATGTCCTGCTCTGCAGAAAGAACGTGACAGAGAGCCCCAGCTTCTCCGCAGGGGACAACCCCCCAGTCCTGTTCAGCAGCGACTTCCGCATCTCTGGGGCACCGGAAAAGTATGAGGTGAGGGCCAGAGCCCTGCGGCTCCAGGCTAGTTGGAAACCGTGGATGTCAGGGACACTGAGGGTCTGGGAGGGAACTGGGAGGCCAAGAAGCACAGGGGAGGTGAGGCCTCTCAAAAGGGAAAGGGAGGAAGTGAGGAGGACTGACTTAGACCTGGGCGGGGAGGGGTGCTCAGGCTGAGGCTGTGAAGGGGGCTATGGGGCTCAGGCCCAACAGAAGCCCTCATCCTCCCCGCTTGGGTCTATGACTGCATTTCCTTCTCCAATAGTCCAGAGAGGTCTCTACCCTGGAATGAGCACCCCAGGAGGTAGGTTCCGGGGGGCCTCAATGTGCTTGCCTCTGGGCCCTTAGTGGGCCTTGGGGCTGGCATGCATGTATGTACGTCCACAGTCAGGCGTCCAGGATGGTTCCCTGTGAAGTCTGCCCTGCCCGGCACTCCTGGCTTTGCCTATTCTGTCCCATTGCTGCTCCCTTCTGTCTGTGTGTGGCCACTGTCCTGTGTGTGTGTCCAAAGGCCCTGTGTAGGGGTGTGGGGTGTGGGTGGTAAGCATGAAGGGGAAGCCAAAGTTGCACCTGCAGGATCACCCAGATTGAGGGGGGGACCACACCAGACCCAAACACAGGGGAAGGACTTACGGAGGCAGGCGTGTACAAACATTTGGAAAGATGGGATCCAGGTGGCTTTAATCTGGGACGGTGTTGTGGATTGAATTGTGTGTCCCCCAAGTTCCTATGTTGAAGAAGGCTCCCTGGAGACATTCAATTTGTGGGCAACCTTCAGGCTTAGCAATGAGGAGGGTGTCGCGAAGGGGGATCCGCGTGGGCAAAGGCCCCAGCGTGGGACTTGGGGACGGTGGGGCTGGCCGGGCTGGTGGCGCTTGAGAAAGGAGATTCACATGGAGCTTTGGGACTCTCCTGTGAAGCTGTGGGGGTACCAGCAGCTCTTGTCTTTGCATGTGGAAAAGGTGGAACAGGAGCCTTCTAATGGGTCGGTTTCCTTCGTAGAGTGAGAGGCACCTGGGATCTGAGAGGAGGCTGCTGGGCCTTCGAGGGGAACCCCCAGAGCTGGACCTGAGCTATTCTCACTCGGACCTGGGAAAACGACCCACCAAGGACAGCTACACCCTGACAGAGGAGCTGGCCGAGTATGCTGAAATCCGTGTCAAGTGAGGGAGCCGGGGGCCGCCTATGTGGCCACCACCCCCTCAGGGCCCTCGCTGGCCCCCACTAGCTGCGGGCTCCCTTCTTCCCAAAAGTAGTGGAGGCTGGGGCAGGAAAGGGATGGGGCAGGTGACAGTGAGGTCCTGGGGTCCTGGTTTCTCCCTCCTTCTCAGCTGCCCCCAGCCCTGCCAACACCACACCCCTACAATGTGGCTCCCCTCTAACCTTCTTTAACCTCATCTGTCTGGAGGGGAGCTCCGTCTGTCCGTGTTATTTATTGCTACCCCCTGCCTGGTCTCCTGCCCCACACCTGGCCCCAGGGTCTGTATGGAAGGGACATGAAATAAATGCCCCAAAGCCAAGCACCTGTCTAGATCCTGATGATTTCTGACCCATCCTTGGGGAGCCTGCCATGCCCCTCCTGCCCTGTGCTGGGCCCTGTGGGGGGGCAAGGAAGGGCCCGGGGATTCTAGCCCTGAGCCCAGGCCAACTGCCATTCAGTTGTTCCCACTCACATAATAACACTTTATTCTTGCCTCTGCCACCGTCACAGCAACTGACAGCACTGGGCTTGCACTTGTCCACAGCTGTGACTCACTGAGAGAGATGGTGGCTGTCCCTTCTGAAGGGGCATGGGTTCCCTATTTGCCACAGTCTCCACCATTCCCTGTTTTCCCACGTCTGGCTGGCTTCACTCACTCACTGACGTTCCCTCCTGTGCCCTGCAGATCTGGTGGGGGGACCGCAGATCTCAATGTTTCATGAGCCTGTGTTGATTTGACTGCCATGGTTCACAGTCATGCTGCACTCTGCAGCTTCCATCTTCAAACTTCACTCCATTTGGTTCAAGAAACATTACTTAGACGCCAGCTGTGTATTGAGCCCCTTCAGGAAGCTCAGGCTATCCTGGAAGGGACCCCCAGGACAACCCCGTGAAGATGAGAACAGTGGGGCTCAGAGACGCTAGGCAGTTTGGCCAGGGTCCCAGTGCTAGGAAATGGTGTGGCCAGGCTTTAAAAAAGAGGCTTGAAATTACCACAGGCAGTCCAGGCCATTAGGTGGCTCTGCCATCCTCAATCCACAGCTCTCATTGCTGTGCCCAAGATGGCTTCTCCAGTGGTCCTCACCCCCTGCTGTAGGAAGGGGAAAAGGGCAGGGGAGAGGTCATACATTCGTTTTAGGGCCAGCTCACCTCACATCCCAGTGGCTGGAACATAGACCTAACAAGCAGCAAGAGAGGCTGGGTGGCATGTGCCCAGATCAAACTCAGGAGTTCTATTATCAAATCAGAGGGAATGCAAGTCAGTGGATAACCAGCACTTACATCATGGGCGACCCCAGGTGAGAGATGAGAGATACCCAGGGGCAGCTCAGTGTCAGCAGCTCGGATTGGAGTTTGCTCCCTCGGTAGAGCCCACAGCCAGACTCTCTCTTTGATAACCTGGGCCACAGCAGTGCCAGGGGACCTGGTTATAGTTCATACTGTTCTGGGCTCAGGACCAAAAAAAAATAGCATGAAAAATGGGGAAATCCTTGCCCACGAGGAGCTTACTTTTTTTTTTTTTTTTTAGCTGAGCCATCCTGCCACCTGTTGGCAGCTCAGCGGCAGCTCAGCTCGGGCCGGGTATCGAACCGCTGTTGCGCAGAGCTCAAACTGTTTTGTTTTGTTTTTAAAAAGATTTTTTTTTATTGGGGAATCAGGGAAGGGAAACAGACAAGTTGCTGTCCTTTTGTTCTTCAGTCTACTTGTGGAGGACGTCGCTTCACTGGCCCATGTTGGTATTATCATTGTGCTCTTCCCGGGTGAGGCAGATCGGTCGCCGGCCTCTGGACAGCCGCTCACGGCGGCTCTTGGCAGCTCACACTGGCTGCTGGCCGCTCATGCTGGCTGCCGGCCACTCACGGTAGCTTATGGCAACCCACTGCCACAGGGGCTGCATCCTATGCCTTCGCTGGCGACTCAAAGCTGCCCAGCTCCAGGTTGAGCTGTTGTTCACCATCTTAGCTGTAGAGGGCAGTGTCACTGTCCCTCATGTGGGATCCGAACCAGGGCCTTGCTGCTCAGAGCTGGCGTCCCAAGCCAGCTCTTAACCAACTGAGCCACTTGTCCGGCCCCAGAGCTTATATTTTAAGAGGCAACAAAGCCAAACATGACAGGGCATGCTGACCAAAGAGCAAAGTATGAAGCCAAGGGATGACATGGCAAAGTATAGACACATATACCAGGCAAGGATGTCCCTTCCAAGGGACCAGGGCATCGAAGGATAAAATGAAAACCCCTGGACTGGTCTTCAAGCTTAGCCTCCTTCTCACCCTCCATTTCCTATCACCTCCCTCTGTGCACTGACTCTCCCTACCCCAAACTGCTCACCAGTCAGCCTCTAAGCATGCCATGTACTTAGCTCAGATAACATCTCTTTATCAAGAGTTCCCTGAATCTCCCAAACAAAAATTAGTCACTTTAATCTCTATAATCTCAAAGTACTTCTTAAAAAGTTTTTTTATTGGGGAACAGCCATGGTCACTGGTTACACATGGCTTTCATGCTACAATGGCATAGTTGACTCTTTTAAGGAGGGCAGAGCTCACAGTGGCCCATGCGGGGATTGAACTGGCAATGTTGGTGTTATCAGCATGATGCTCTAACCAACTAAGCTAACCGGCCACCCCCTCAAAGTACTTTTTAATATGCAAATCAAATCACTTATCACAATGTATGTATTATGATCAGTTGGACATAAATGTGTCACTCCACCCAACCTAGAACAAGAATTTCACCAAATCTTGTAATACCCAGTGCTTAACACACAGTCCCTGGTAAGTGATGGGGGTTAAATGAATGAGTGACCCTTAAAATGGCAGAAATTGTGTCTTATTGTCACCTTGCAGCTGCCGACTCAAATGCTCGTGCACATTGATCCTTTGAAGTCATAAGGAAGTGTCTTGGAATGCTAAGACCCAAGGGAATAATCTCGGTAAAACTTCCTCATCAGGTGGTCTCAGAATGCTGAGGCCATCCCGGGGATCATACGCATGTGTGAAAGCACAACTCAGGCTTAATCACAATGAGTTTCGGTGAAGCAGCTGCCAGCCAGTCTAATTGAATCAATTAACTGGGTATAGATATTCAAATTGACCTCTTTGTGACCGTTGTAAATAAAAGCTTTAAGCCCGCCAGTATCAGGGCTCACTCTCTCAGTCTGCAGAGATGAGACCCCTGGCCCACAGAAACTCTACTTTTGACTCTTGTGCTTTCTTAACCCTTTGCCGCCCCTCCTCAAGCCCCCCAGCCCTTGTCACACGGGACATGATAACTTATCACCATACATCTGGTGCACAGTATGTGCACAATGCCTGGCGTATAGTTGGTGCTCGATAAATGGAGTTTGATTGACTTAATTTGAATTTAATGAACAAGAAATGCAATCAGGTACAGCAAAGACAGGCCCCAAAAGTCACAACTCACCTGGTGCCAACCCAGTCCAGTTGTACCAATGTGATTTTCAGTCTGTAGATCCCATACGTCCAGCTTGGTCTGCCCAAAAGATGCAAAGTCTTGGGGTACATTTAGCAAAATTTGTCTGGAGCTGGAGCCAACCATGCTCTGGACTCAGTTCTTTTTCTATAATAACATATCAGAGATTTAAAGTAGGGGTAGACCCTCTGATATAAGTGTTAATAACTAACAGTTGTTGAGCACTTACTCCATACCACATAATTCTACTCGATTTACATGAATTCATCTCTCTTTACCTTTCCTAACAACTATGACAATGGTCCTCAAAGTGGGGTCCCTACACCAGCTGCAACAGCATCATCCGGGCACTTGTTAGGAAGGTGAATTCTCAGGCCCCACCGCAGACTGCAGGAATCAAGAACTCTGGGGTGGGGCCCAGCACTCTGGTTTTCAGGAGGCATCCACATGCTTCCAATGAGCTGATGTGTGAGAACCCGGAGGAGCCAAGGCACAGACACGTTACATCACTTCTTCTGGTCCCCCAGCTGGTACTGTGCGGCCTTGATTTGAACCCAGAGCCCTGGTTCTGCAGCCTATGCTCTTACCACTGTACTGCACTGCCATCTAGGCGAGAAGCCGCGCCAGCAGGGCCTGAAGGTGCCGAGGAAGCAGTAAGAAGAAAGCTGCGGGGCCGGGGGAAATTCAGGTTGTTCCCAAGGAAGGAGGCTCTCCCCTGGTTTTCAAAGAAGGCAAGGGATACAACAGAGGCCAAAGTCAAGGTCTAGAGGTAAGAATAACCAAACCATGTCGGGAAGGAAGGTGACGAGGCTGCTTTGTCCCCACGCAGGAGAAAGGAAGTAGTGGCAGTAGCAGGCTGTGAGCAGTGGGGAGGGGCCCCTGCTCTAGGGTCTGCCCATGTCCTTGCCTCCTGGAGCCGGCAGTGTGGCAGGGAGAAGGACATTAAATAAGTCTCCTCACACCTAATGCCTGACTGCCTCTCCTGATGCCTGCTCCCAAGGGAAGTGCTAGGAGGGCTTTTAGAGCATAGAATGGAAGTATGCCTTAAAAGTCTCAGGGGTCAGGGGTCCCTGCGGAAGGAAAGTCGTGGGAACACCCTGGGCGAATGCCCCAAGGAGGAATGTGTTTAGCAGAATCCCAGGAGCTGAACGGAGGCTGGGTGGCATGAGACGAGACAGGGAATAGCAGGGACTTCACGGCAGCCTCAGTGCAAGCTCCTACCAGATCTGCGCACGGTAGGGGCCCCCACCCTGACACACCTGTCCCCTGACAACAGACCCTGGCTCCAGCAGGTCTGGCCTGGTAGGAATGCCTCTATGGACTTTGTCCTGAGGTCCACAGCAATGTCAATAATGAGAGACTCAGAGTAACCCTGTGCTGCCCAAAGTGTCACCTGAGCACCGTGACAGACAGCCAGGTGATCCAAGGAGAGGTGGAGAGTGACTTTTCTATTTATGTTTTATTTAGTATATATCAGAACAAAAGGAAACCAGCATACCGAACGGGTGAATTTTTTTTTTTTATAAAAGCTTAGGATGAGGCTAAGTTTTAAAAAAAATTCATCAAGTGAATTTATTTAAAGAGATGTATGAAATAAAAATATTTTGGGGGGTGCTCAGACAGGACAGAGGTCCTAAACGTCACAGGCAAAACTCAGCGTTTGAGAAACAACATAAGTTCTCTGACACAAAGAACATCTCTTAGGAGGGACTAATAGTCAGTGATAACATACAGATAGGACCAGAATTTAGGTGTCACACCCCACCCAGCTCCTGGAATCCTCCACCCCCAAATTCCTCTGTTCCACTGACACAGATTTACTAAGCACCTACTGTGTGCCAGGCCTATGTTGGGCCCTAGGGACACCACAGTCACCAAGAAGAAACA